GGCCAGCCCAGCAAAGACACCTGAAGGCTTGTGCCAAGGAGTGAGATCGGCCTTACTCCACGAGGGGCCTCTGGCATGTGGATTGGCTCCTTGTGGTGGGCCCACTTTCTTGGGAAACCCGAATCTTTTATGCCTTTTGCCCACTTTCAGGATCTCGGTGAAAGATGCTCATACTCTCTGCCCCAGAGAGAGGAACTTTCTCATAAAGAGGAACTGAGTGGGGCGTCCCTGGTGGTGCAACCAGTGAAGATGCAACCTGTGAAGCAAACCGCAGCCTCTGCAGCATAATTTCAATCTCTGGCCAGCCAGGGAGAAACCCACATGGCGAGACAGACCTCTCCTGACTCGCCCGCTGCTCCCCTCAGCAGTGTATTTCAGTCAGTCTGCCTGTTCTGTTCCCCACTCTGTCTCTGGTGAACCCTGTCACCCCCCATGTCTCTGGCCTGCAACCCAGCTCTTGTATGCATAAATAAATCTTAAAAAAAAAAAATCTAAAAAAAAAAAAAAAGAACTGAGTGATTCAAGAAAGAACATTGTATTCATAGTACAAGTGCTGTGAAATTGGATATGCTTTTCATTCATGTCTACCCTTCCTTCCTCCCTCCCTCCCTCCCTCCCTCCCTCCCTTCCTTCCTCCCTTCTTTCTTCCCTCCTTCCTTCCTTCCCTCCTTCCTTTCTCTTCCCTCCCTCCTTCCCCTTGCCATCCATCCATCCATCCATGCATCCCTGCATCCATCCTGCCTAACTACCTGCCTGCCTGCCTGGGTCAAAATATAAAAGTGATCATCCCATAAGTTTAAAAAAAGGACACAGATCCTTTTCCGGTTCATAAGCGTGATGATTGGGTGCTCACGCGGCTGTGTGAGATGTGCCTCCCTCAAACCTTGTTACGACGTCGGCACATTACCCTTCTGACGTGAAAAAAATAAAAAAAATAAAAAAAAATAAAAAAAGGACACAGCAGGGCCTCCCCGGTGGCGCAGTGGTTGAGCGCTGCATTGCAAAGCTGCCCGCAGCCTCTGCAGCGCTACTTCGATCCCCGGCCACCGGGCGAGGGTCCCACGCCCCACATGGCGTGCAGACCTCTCCTGCCGCCCGCTGCTCCCCTCAGCAGTGTACCTCGGTCCTTCTGCCTGCTCTGCTCCCCGCTCTGGCTCTGGTGAATTCTCTCACCCTCCTGCACTTCTGACTGTACCCACTGCTTGTATAAATAAATAAATAAATCTTAAAAAAAAAAAAAGGACTCAGTAGGGTCATAATCCCTCCAAAGGCTCCAGAGATGAATCCTCCCGTGCATGTTCCCAGCTTCTGGTGGCTCCTGGCAACCCTTGGTGTGGTGTGTGGAGTTTGTTCACTCCAGCTTCTGCCTCTGTCATCGCACAGCCTCATTCCCTGTGTCCCCTCTGTCTCTGTACCCAAATCTCCCTCAGCTTTCCTCTGAAACATCACCTATCACTGGAGTTAGAGCCCCCACAACCCAGTGTGATCTTAACTCAGTAACTTTGGCCAAGACTCGACAACAGTCCTGGGATAACGTGGTCATCTCACTCACCATTGCTTCCTGATAAAGTTGATGAGTCGTTCATTCACCAAGACCACAGACTCCCAGCCCCGGCCGGCCTGTGTGTGGAGCTGACACTTCTCCCTGTGTCTGCCTGGGTTTTCTCCAGGTCCTCCGCTTTCCTTCTGCATCAGAAAGTGTGCAAGTTGGATTCACGGCTATGTCTCTTGTCCTGGCCCAAGTGGGTGTGAGTGTGCCTTGCGATGGCAGCACATCCTGTCCAGGGCTGGGTCGCACCTTGCGCCGACCGCCCGTGACTGGAATATGAGTTGAAAACAAATGAATGTGAATGATTGTTTAATATTTGAAGTGTTTTGGATCTACGTTCAGGGGTCTGATGATGTTTTTGTGATCAGAAATCTGCCACGGGGACTTAACTCTTGTTTATATCAATTAACCAGTGACAAAATTGGTTTTGTTATACATCATTTTGCTTAAAATTGCAATTTCCAAGAACTTATCACATTGGGGTCTTACTGTACTTCCAAATATGGTCACATACACACATGCTAGGAGTTAGGACTAGGAATTAGGGTCCCTTTTTGTGGGGCACAGTCAACCTGCTTTGGCCAGCTCAGTGCTTGCACACAAAGTACTACCCAGTGGTTTTGCTCTGTTGTGCCCTCGTTTCCCCCTCACCCACAGATCATAAAAAATTCCTGGGCCACAGACAGCCCAGGGAGGCAGGCTTTTTTCCAAAATTCCAACCTAGTGTGAGGCACAGTTTCCTTCTCCTCTTATAAAAGGGTAAAAGGAAGGGTCTCCCCACTATCTCTCACCTCAGCAAAACTCAAGCAGTGAGGTGGTGAGGATTCAAACACCCGGATGCCTGCATGTCAGGGGCTCATGGTTTGGGCAGGCCGGTGAGATGGGGTGCGAGGAGCAGGCTTTTAAATGATGACTGAATGGCATTTCAACTCAGTTTCCTTCCTTCAAGCAAAATTTCAGGCTAACTGTTGTCCCTTAATAAACCACTTGTTTATTTGAACAGGGGCGGAGGGGAGGGAAAGGCGAGCAGGGCAGGGGCTGTTGGTCACAGAGGGACCTAAAGGGCTTTGGAGTTGAGGCCTGTCCAGGGCTCCTAGTTTTTCTGCTTTGAAGTGGCATAAAAGCCACTGGCCCTGTGAATCCCGGGAGTGGGCGGGGGGCGTGGGGGGGCGGAGAGGGGGGCTCTTCTTCCAGGCAGTTTGTGCACGTCCCTTCGCCTGGGTCAGTGCCCACAGAGCTTTGTTTCTTGGAAGGTGATTTTGGGGGTTGTTTTTGATTTTTGTTGTTTTGGTCAAGGTGGGGGGCCCCAGTAGAGAAGGGTGGAGATAAGAGAGATGGGGGTCAGGAGGGGACTTGCCATCCGATTTTCTGGGGCGTGGGGTAAAGCAGAAGCTGAAGGAACTGCTTCCCCGAGGGAAACTGAGCTCTGGGCATAAACATGGTTGCTCTGTGGCTGCAGCCGAGCTGGGCATCGGCACTTCCTCCTCTGGGCCCCAGGGCAGGTGGCTGCGGCAGTGGACGGGAGTGTCCTTGGCGTGGGTACTTTCCCCAGCCACAGGGTAGCTTCACGAGTAAAACCAGAAATGTGACAAGGTGGGCCCATGGGATTCTCACAAATAGTGAACCTGGGTCACCCCTCAAGGACCCATGGATGGTGGGGGTCATTTGCAAGAGGTGGCGGTCTTCACTGGGCACGTAGGGGGAGGTCAACAAGAAGGTGACGTTTGAGCTGAGCATCGGAGGAGCAGGGATCTGCCTGGGGTGAGGACAAGGAAGGTCATTTCAGGCCAGAGGAACAGCCTTTGCAAAGGCATGAGTGCTCGCTGGTGGCCTGAGATTGTCAGGGAAGCCTGGTCTGGTGGGGGGCGGGGTGCACAGGGGAACACAGGAGAGAAAAGTGAAGCCAGAGAGAGGCGGGGCTGGCTCATGCTGGGCCCTCACATGACGGGCCCTCACATGCCAGGCTGAGGTTTGGGTTTTGGCTTGAGGGCAGTGGGAGCCCCAGATGGCTCAGGAACAGAGTGACGGGGCCTCACATGTTTTAGATTTGCTTGACTTCCCGGCTGAGCTTGGGTGGGAGGTGGGCAGCCCCTGGCCTGGAGGGGAGAATGAGGGAAGTCTGCACCCGCCCTCCCTGCAGTGTTCTGCTCATCCTTCCTAGCCCTGCCCCCCACCAGGTCCCCCGAGTGTGTCACTTGTCAGAAAAGCAGTCTGCCTCTCGGTGGGTGTGGAGAGCACGCATGCCTCTGAGCATGCTGGGCCCAGGGCAAGGGCTGGCCAGGCAGCTGGCAGGTTGGCAGGGAAAACATGGCCCACGCTGCTGTGTCTGCAGCCACTGCCGTTGGACAGCCTGATTAATGGCCACGATGCCCAGGGCTCCTCATGGGTCAGTAACCCCATCTCTGCAGCAGTGAACCTGCCCCTTGCTCTGCCTTCTTTGGGCCTGCACTGGCACTCCTGGGTGAGCATAAATGCTAAGACATCGTCTGTTCCCCAGGTTCTTCCACCCTTGTGCCACCTGTTTCCATGGCCTCCTTTAAATCTGCACCCTAAGTGCTCTTCTGCAGGAGAGGTTTCAGAGAATTAACTCCCTGCTCTTTGTGTTCTGCTTGTTCTTTATTTTATCCCCCCTGGGCACTCAGTAGAGTTTAGATATCACCCGAGGAGACCCATCTGCTCCTCTCCCTTCCCCAGCTCTCTAGTCACTGTCTCATGGGCCTGGTGTTCTCTCTCTGCTTCAGGTCGATGTGTGGGGTGGATAGAGCAAGCTCCTATTCCACCTCCCTGCTCTATCGTCCTTAGAGGATGCAGCAGATACTAAGCTGATAAGAACAGATGCTACACTTGATCTTAGCCAAGAGGCGAGGAGGGGCGACTGTGTCCCTGGGAGCTGCTTGCGTCAGTCCCTCCTCCATCAGACTCCTGCCCCCCCCCCCCCAGGTTAAGGATCTACCTCCTCCTTTAGAATGACTTCTACTGGCAGTTTTTTTCTTCTGGAAATTATGTAGGACACTCCCCTGGGCAGGGACTTTGTCTCTCCACCCCTACCCCCCGCCCCAAGTCTGGAGCTCTCTATGAACAGTACCCTGTCTGTTTCTCCCTGTGCCCCTTGAGCTCTGCCATGGGTGGACTCCTTGGGGACTTGGGCTGCAGGGAAACCTCCTGGCTGTCTGGGAATGGCAGGGCTGAGCTTGGGTATAGCAGGTGTGGATATGGCTGGGATTTGACTGGGGTATGACTAGGTGCCAAGTGCAGAGCTGTCTGGGGCCAAGAGGAACCCAGTAGCTCCAGGTATCAACCAGCCCTCTGGGTCACAGGTCCAGCGAGCACCCTGGGAAGGCCATGACTTACTTCTTGTAGTCAGAAGCCTGGGGTGGGTGGGGGGGAAGGGTGGTTCCTGGCATGCCCGACTCCTTATGCTTCCTATGGACTCTGTCTTGGGTGGTGGCAGGAGGACAACCACAGCTACTATGTGTCCCGCCTGTACGGCCCCAGTGAGCCCCGAAGCCGGGAACTGTGGGTGGATGTGGCCGAGGCCAACCGGAGCCATGTGAAGGTCCACAGAATCCTGTCCAACACTCACCGGCAGGCTTCGGTGAGTGCCCTGGTCCCCAGCAGCACTACCCTGGGCCGGGAGGCTGGGGACCAGCTATCTCAGCTGGTCAGTGGGCACGACTGTAACCTAAGGTCTGTGATCTGGGAGGTGCCCTCTAGAGGGGCCTGGGGGTTTTGCCAGAGTGGGGCTGTGGTCCTGAGGGCCTGTCTTGGACATGCTTGCCCCAAACCTTGTCCAGGCAGGTGTGGGGTAGTGTGGGTGCTCAGCCCCTTGGCCTGCAGTTCTGCCATGCTGACTCTCTGTTTCCTGCAGAGAGTGGTCTTGTCCTTTGATTTCCCTTTCTACGGGCATCCTCTGCGGCAGATCACCATAGCAACCGGAGGTAAGGCCTTGTCAGCGGGGCTGAGATTTGGAGATCTCAGCTAGAACTTGGAGGACCTATGTGGGGAGGCTCACGGGTGATAGGGTTGTATAGATGGACTGGGAGGGACCCATATTTGACTCTTGGGACCCCACATTCAGGAGGGAAGTCAGGGGGTATGTTGGACCACCTCCCTCACATTGGCTGACGTGTGTGTGTGTGTGTGTGTGTGTGTGTGTGTGTCCTTCTGGGCCAGCTTAGGCCAGCCTGGGCAATCCCTGTGGCCCTGTGTTTCTGAGTCTGTGGATAAAAGGGAGGCGGAGACTGCTAAGAGCCTGAGTGCTGGGACCAGGGTCCCTGGTGACACGAGGGGTCCATTTTTGATTCCCGTGCATTTTCCCGGGTACAAAGAGAGGTGGGATATTGTGCCCACCTGGAGGGGCAGGGAGAAGCTTCTGTGGTCTGGGACCCTCTGCCTATATACCCTGGACCCAGAGCCCAGCAGGTGGTTTGAGGTTTTTCGCCCAACACCATCTGCACTGCCCCTTCCAACTTGGGGACCTAACCCAAGGCAGCCACCCTGCTGGTCTACCTCTGGTGATTCCTCTGCACTTCTCCCCACCCCAGGCTTCATCTTCATGGGGGACGTGATCCATCGGATGCTTACAGCTACTCAGTACGTGGCCCCTCTGATGGCCAACTTCAACCCTGGCTACTCCGACAACTCCACAGTTGCCTACTTTGACAATGGTGAGGCCAGAATCCTCTCCAGAGTTTAAGTCATCCAGCTCCAGGCTCCTGTGGTCCATCCCCTTTAGAGTAACAAAAGGCCCAGAGAGGGCAAGGACTTGCTCAGTCACACAGTGAGGCAGCTGCCCCACCGTTTTTGTATTTGGTTCCCTCATCTATAAGATGGGGACAAAGTGCCCATAACCAGCAGGATCTGATGCGCTAACAGAATGAAATGTTTGGCTTTCAGTAAAGGTGAAATAAATAAGAGGGGCCCTTCTTGCTTTCACTCTCAACTGGTTGTGCCTTGAATACCCCTCTTCCCCTCCCCCTAAGCTCCCCACCCAAAAGAACAGCTATCTCTCTTCCTTTCTATTTCAAGGGGTCAGGATGGGAGAGAAAGGGGTGGTGGTGCCTGGTTAGGAGATGCCAAAGCTAGTCTCTTGTGGGAATGGTGGGCTGAAGTGGGCCTTCGGGTTCCTCTCTAGCTGTCTGTGGGCTGCCAGCTCCTGCCTCCCGCCAGATTTGCCCCATCACCCCAAGGGACCCAACCTGCGGCCTGCCCACAGTGGGGGCCATGCACGAACAGCCTGTGCAGCCAGGGCTCCGCTCTTCTCCCTAGGGACGGTCTTTGTTGTTCAGTGGGACCACGTCTATCTCCAAGGCCGGGAGAACAGGGGCAGCTTCACCTTCCAGGCAGCTCTGCACCGTGATGGCCGCATTGTATTCGGCTATAAAGAGGTGAGTGAGCCCTGCTGTAGAGATGACTGGTCTTGGAGTCCTTCATCCAACAAATATCTGCAGAGAAGCTGCAATGTGCCAGGCATGGGCTTGGTGCGGGGATACTGCAGTTAGTGGCGTGGCTGCGCCGGGGAGCCTGAGTCTGCGTGGGCAGACAGACAGCAGTTGCAGGGACAAAGGCAGAATCACTGCTGTGACATGTGCTCCTCAGGGGAGGTGTCGGGGCCGGGGCTCTCTACCTGAGCAGGGTCAGGGAAGTCTTCCCTGAGGGCAAGAGTTGAGATCTGCAGGGTGCGGAGAAGTTAACAAAGCAAAGAGTGGGGCGCAAAGTGTGTTCCAAGGGAGAGAAAAGCATGTGTGCAAAGGTCACGTGACACAAGAGTGCAAGGCCAGTGCGAAAAGCACTAAGGAAGGCAGCATCATGGGGGAGAGAGTGAGGGATGAGACAGGGCAGGAGAAGAACCAGATGTCCCTTTGGAGAAGGCCACTGTGGTGTCTGAGTGGGGAACAGATTGTTGGAGGTTCAGAGGGCATCTGAGAGAATATTTAGGAGAGAGGTGTTGCCAGCTTGGGGCAGGGTGGTGGGAGAGAATTGGACAGATTGGAGAGCTAGTTCGCAGACTAAATACCAGGCGTTGGAGAAGGAAAGGGAGGCACCAAGGTAGCTCCTAGTTTCCCGGCCTGCGTGGTGGTGCCATCCGTTAGGAAGGAGAGAAGTATGTGTGTGTGGGGAAGGCTTGGAATTCGGATGGGGGTCTATGGGTGTGAGGTGTCTTGGATTCCTCCAAGAGGGGACACTGGGAAGACAAACGGGTCTGGGGCTCCCAGGGCTTTCTAGGCTGGCCCAAGAATGTTGGGGTGCAGATGGAGCCTCTTTTCCCCTGCTACAGATCCCTATGTCTGTCCTGGAAATCAGCTCCTCCCAGCACCCTGTGAAATCAGGCCTGTCAGACGCCTTTATGATTCTCAATCCATCCCCGGACGTGCCCGGTGAGTCCCCAGCAACCCAGCAGAGTCCTCGACTCAGCTCCGACTGGCCTGGGCTGGGCGGGGACGGCAGTGGCTGGGAGTGGGCGGTGGGGGTTGAGTGGGGCATAGTGAGTTGCAATTTTTCTCCTTTAAAGTAGAGGGACTGTTTCCACCAATATAATCTCTAGTGGGATTCACTGCTCTGGCATAAGGCAGGGCCCTTATGTTCGGTACCCCTGCCATTTAGAAAACCTCTGAAGACACCAAATTAGGGTTTTGAGCCCTTCCAGGCACAATCACAGACATCCCCCCTCCCTCCCTGCCCCGGGCCATAGAAGGAGCATCACAGCTGCTCTGACAAACCTCAGCTTCTCTATAGCCTCGGTTGCCTTGGCTCTAAAGTGGGGGAGTGCCTGGAGGGTTGCCTCTTCCTCCCAGGTTCTCTAGTTCAGATAACTTAGGGCTCTTCCTCTCCTCCTTCCAACCACCTGCTCATCCCCTCGAGGGCTGTACTGGATTCACTCTCCTGGGGGCTGCAGGTGTGCCGTCCACTGCTCCTAGACCCTTGGCCGGAAACTTTGAACCTGACTTCTTCCACTGGGTGCAAAAATCCTGCCATGTCACCTGAAGGGCCCCTGTCCACTCTTCTCTACCCTATATGTGTTTGATGCACCTGGGGACAGTCTCCAGCTGTGCTGAGCTGCATGGGAGAACGTGCTTGGAAGTCACTCAGGTGCTCGCCTATCGAGGAACAGAGATCACCCTTCTGGAAAGTCAGGCATTTCCAGGGCAAGCATCTTTTTTTTTTTTTTTTTTAGAGGCATGTTTTTATTTATTTATTTATTTGTTTGTTCGTTTGTTTTTGTTTATACATGCACTGGGTACAGTCAGAAGCGTGGGAGGGTGAGAGAATTCACCAGAGCCAGAGCGGGGAGCAGAGCAGGCAGAAGGAGCGAAGTACACTGCTGAGGGGAGCAGCGAGCGGCAGGAGAGGTCTGCGCGCCACGTGGGACCCTCCTCCGGTGGCCGGGGAGCAGCCGGGAATCGAACCGGCGCCACAGAGGCTGCGGGCAGCTTCGCAACCCAGCGCTCAACCGCTGCGCCACCGGGGAGGCAGGGCAAGCATCTTTCCTTACGTTTCTGGGGTGAGTTCAGTTCCTGGTGCTGCTGAGACCCCATGATGAGGAGGACATGGAGGGGTTCATCATCTGAGCAGCACCTCTGTCCCTAAAGAAGCCTGTGGCAAGGACCAGGGCTCAGTTACAGGCCTTTCTCCAGCACCTTCTACGTGCAAGGTGGCAGCACAGAGTTGGGGCTCCGCCCTGGAGCTGGAAGCCTGGTGGAATTTGGACCTTGCAAGTCACTTACGTTTGTTTCTTTATCTGTAGCTGAGGATGTGCGTGGTGTCTGCCCCTTGCAGTTATGGGAGGGTGGATGTACCAGTCCAGGAAGTGCTGGGCACACCGGGTTTTCAGGGAATCCTACATCACAGTGCCTCACCATGCTAGCCTTCGGCATGCAGCTCTGTGTTTTATTACCAGCAGGACACATGGTGCTGTCGCAAACAGTCCCGAAATAGGAGCTGGGGGTGTCCTGTGCTGGCGTGTCATCTGTCCCATGCACCACCACAGCACTTTGTTGTTGTTGTCGTTTTTAGCGATTTATTTATTTATGCATACTGGCCAGAGGTGCGGGGCGGGGGTGTGTGTGTGAGAGAGGATTCACCAGAGACAGAGCAGGGAACAGAACAGGCAGATTGACTGAAATACACTGCTGAGGGGAGCAGCGGGCAAGTCAGGAAAGGTCTGCTGAGCCATGTGGGTAGCTCCCTGGCCAGGGATCGAACTTGTGCTGCAGTGGCTGCAGACAGCTTCATAGGTTGTGTCTTTTTTTTTTTTTTTTTTAATTATTTATTTATTTATTTATTTTTAATAGAGGCATGCTTTATTTATTTGTTTGCTGGTTTGTTTGTTTGTTTGTTTATACATGCACTGGGTACAGTCAGAAGCGCGGGAGGGTGAGAGAATTCACCAGAGCCAGAGCGGGGAGCAGAGCAGGCAGAAGGACCGAAGCACACTGCTGAGGGGAGCAGCGGGCGGCAGGAGAGGTCTGCACGCCATGTGGGACCCCCCTCCGGTGGCCGGGGAGCAGCCGGGGATCGAACCGGCGCCACAGAGGCCGCGGGCAGCTTCGCAACCCCAGCGCTCAACCGCTGCGCCACCGGGGAGGCCCAAGGTTGTGTCTTAACCCCTTGTGCCACCAGGGAGGCCCGACCACAGCACTTTGAAGTGGCTTTTGTGGCTGATAGCAGAAGTCACAGGCTCTAGTGGCAGTTTCCCAGACTTCACTTGTTCACCCATCACCTCTGAGGTTTCTGCTGTCAACGTCAATGACTGTCCTACTATATACTAGTGCTCTTCTTATCCTCATTTGTAAAATGATTGTTTTTTCACAAATGAGTGTAGCTGGTTTTAAAATTCAAATGATACAGGATGTATTGACAAACAGATTTCTCTTCTGTCCCTGCCCCCCCGTCTCCCATTCCCCTTCCTGGAGGCAACCCAGGCTGCCAGGTTATTTGTAGAGCTGAGCCTTTGTATAGATGTTCGTGCACACACTTAACCCACGGCACGAGCTGACCATCGCTGTTCTGTCCTTGGACAGTCTGTCCTGCCCACCGGCCACTTCAGCCCATATCTCACTCTTTTAAATGACCTTGTGAGAGTCCCCTGCCTAGAGGCTGGCTTCATTCAACCAGTGCCCTTATACACCTATAAAGGATGTTGTGGGTTTTTTGGTGGGTTTTTTGGTCAAGCCTTTGCTGCTTCTCCTTGGGCCTTAGTCCTCAGTATAACTAGACTGGTTCCTGACCCATGGGATGGAATGATTGGGAAGAAATGACTCTAGTGGGCCTAAAGGCAAAACACCCACCACTGGGCCGCCCATGAGAAATCGGCCCCAGGTCCTCCCTGCCCGTGAGCTGCCCACGGGCCAGTGGGCTGGTGGTGGCACCCAGGTCCGGCCTGCTGCAGGAGGGAGGAAACAGACCCAACCTCACCCTCCCATCCCTCCTTCCTTTTCAGAGCCCAGTGCCCTCTGCCCCATCTCTTCCTTCAACACTGTCTTAGGATCACGGAATGTAGCCATTGCTAGACACGCCACATCCCCACCCCGGAGCCCCCTTGTCTAGTCCCCCTAGGGCCTGCTAGAAGCCCCTGCATGGAGCCTGGCACATGGCAGCCACCCCATATTAGCCTCCCTCCCTCCTTCCCTTTATCAAACACACCTCAGCTTTTCTGCCTGTTCCTTGTATTTTAGTGCCTTTTGTTATGTTGCCGCTACACTGGGGACTGTTTTTAGCCAGAGGACTATTGTCTTTGCTGTGTGGCTCAGTCTTTGAACTTACACTCAGGCATGCTGCAGAAAGCTCCTCCTTCAGGGCAAATGTGTGGCTTCCCTTGCTCTGTGCTGCAAGGCCCTGTGGATATCACGTTATCCTCAAAGACCCAGTTCAGACCTGCCATAGTGGATCCAGGGCTGAGGGTCAGCCTGTCTGCCCCACTATGACTGTATCAGTTAAAATACTAAATGCTTCCAATTGTCAGCAAATAGCTGCTGGTCTGAGCCCTCTGTGTAAGCCCCACCACCCACCTGTCCCTCCCTAACCCCCCACTCCAATGCTCTATGTAGCAAGTAGCTCTGCAAGGGCCACCTCTTGCCATACTCCCCTGCCCCCCATAGCTCACAACTTGACAGCTGGCTTCCATCAGAGCAGGCAGGCAAGGGAGCAGCATTGGGGAGCAAGACAGAAGCCCAGGGGGTTTGTAACCTAGTCTTAGTGCCATCTCCCCAGCGATGTCATGTTCTGCTGCTGTTAGCTAGTCACTAATGCAGCCCCACCATGGAACATAGGGGCCTGGGCTGCCTGCCATGCCGAGCTTTACAGTTCTCAGTGGATCGTCCCCCCAGCCTTGTAATGAAATCTGTACATATGTCCCTTTCAAAACGAGGACGCAGAGGTTCAGAGGGATGGAGTGACTTGCTGTGGTCACACAGCTGTGAAAGGGAAAACTAAAACCCAAATCTGTTTTTGGAAAACCCACAGTCTATCATTGAGACTTTCTAAGTCTGCCTCCCCCCTCCACCAGAGGGGTGAATCCTTTCCTCCTTGGTTGCCAGGCACCCATCCACAGCCCTTGGCGTACCCACCCTGGACTGTTCTGCAGGACAGTCCTTGGTGTCTGGTCCACCATCTCGTGCATTCCTGAGCTTCCGTCCCACCCTGGGCTTTGTGCACGGGTGGAGTCGCAGGAAATTGTGCCTTGGATGCAGCCCTTACATGAGGGTGAGTTAGAGGAAGTCAGATCCCTTGGGAGTGTCTCTATCTGAGGCTCTTCTGTGACTCTGGAAAGAAAGTCTGTTTAAGAGCAAGCCAAGGAGATGTGTGAGGCGGGATAAAGAGTGGCAGGGAGGAATCCACCCACCTGAAATAACAGGAGATTGGCCACGCCTGCTCCCTGAGGCAGAGCAGGCCCGAAGGGCCCAGTGTGGGAGCTGCTGGATGACAGTAACCCCAGTCACTGTCCCTGGGTGACTCCAGGTGCAGCTTGCTGTGGCGTTGGGCCACTAGCAGTTGAAAGCTCGAGTCTGTCCCCCAGAACACTGCCCAGCAACCCCCACCCTCCAGTTTGGAGCTGTACTGTAAAGGTAGGTGGGCCCTACCATGCAGGGCATAGAAGGCCACACTGGGAATTCTGACTCGATGCTGCAGGCAATGGAGTTCTGGCCCTATTCCCTCTGGTCCCTGCCAGACCTAATCAATTTCAGGCTCCTTGTTGCCTGCAGCATCGAGTCAAAATTCCCAGTGTGGCCTTCTAGGCCCTGCATGGTGGGGCCCACCTACCTTTATGGTACAGCTCCAAACTCTCCCTCCACCTGCCACTCCACCTGGTAGCGCTGCTCTGCAGGCCCTGTGTTCCCAAAACAGGTCTACATCGCTGTGATTTAGCTCCTTGTATAAA